TTGGCCCTTTCCTTTAAAAGGCAGATACTCTTTAGTTAGGAAGGCGTTTGTACATTTTTTTAGACCTGATCCAATTCCTACTGTTGCCAGTGGGATATTTTCTGTTGATTGCAATAGAAATAAAAAGAAGGTCCTTAAATTAAACTTAGCATTCTATATTAAAATGGTTGCTGATAAGGGAGATTAATTTGTGACTGTCCCAGTGGCTTATCAGTAAGTTGACGAGACACGGACAGTGTATTTTTTGAACCAGCTGTAAGGCAGAAAAGCTGAGGTTACTATTTGGATTCCCTGATGAAAAGCTGTAATCATTTCATGTATAGGTAAATGTATTCTAGATATTCCCAGAGTGACCTTGGCAGCCAACAGTGTTGCCCTTCGTGTCAGCAGAAAGAAGGCTGTTGGTGTCAGTAGGCTTTGGATCAGGCTTTAAGGACAGAGAAAGCTTGCTTAAGGAGGAGAACAGACATAACGAATAGTCCTGAATCCCCAGGTTTTGTCACTTACTTAGACTTTAGAATATCAACAAGACACTTTAAACCCCGCAGAATAATTGTTGTAAGTAAATGATTTTGACCTTGTATGTTTCTACAGTTGTATACAAGAATAAAGAACAAGTCTCTCTGGCTTACAAAAAAAGGCAAGTACTTTATTTATCAATAGAGATTTTAGCTGCTTTTTACACCATTGCAATGACTAAACATATAGCATAAAATAAACAAAGGAGAGTATAAAATCACTTTATTCCAGCTGGTATCCCAAGACAACCTTTTGACTAAGTACAGAGTTAGATGTTTCAAGTATGGCACTTATATAAATAAGAGCAGAGAGAAGGTGATATATTCACAGTTAAAAGCAATGAACTCTGTTCCTTTGGTATGTGTGTCATAGCTGATCGTAAGTAAATACATAACTTGGTTGGCATAAACCAACTCCATCTTATTCATGCACATATTAGGGAATGAACTGAAATGTACTGATATATTCTGCAGATCACAACTAATGTAAGATGATTAAGGTCTCTGGTGTGTGTGTGTGGACAGGCAAACAAATAAAATGGCAAAATTATATTCAGCATTTACCGTTTAGCATAACTAATTGATGCACAAACTATGATAGAAAATAGCTAATAATACACACCAGGAATAAACTCTGTGATTTAGACAAGCAAAATAAGACATCTGTGAGATAGGTGAACGCAGATATCCTTACTGAGCTGTGGTCAGGCTCCTTACAGTGCGATTATCCTCCTTTTAAATCATGCTTACATCTGCACATTGCAACAGTTTCCCCTACCCCACCCCACATAGAGTATCCTTGCAGATTTTAATATGAACATTCCACACATTTACAACAATTAGTCAGACAGTCCAAAGTGTAAACTTATCCTAACAACAACCAAAAAGCTGTTCCACCAACAGGTAACGCTCAGTCATTAGACAGAAAAGTAGGAATAATAGTAGCTGTGCTGTAAGGCTAGATCAAGCGTGAGTTTATAGCTGGTTTTTCAGTCTTTTACATAGCACTGCATTCTGCAGCTAGTTCAGTAAGTGCAGATCCAATACCTTAATGGCTTTCTTGGTGGTTTGATAAAATGCTTGCCTAAGCAATGTACCTTTCTCTAATGGTATCTGGGTCTGTTCCACCTGGCACAGTGTTTCAGTTCTGTCACAGCCTCACACATAAGCTGAGTCACTTGACTGAGTCCTGCCAAAGTTGGGCATACTCATTCTTGGCAGATCCTTATTTCTGATTTCGTATATGGATTTCCTTTTTGCCTGTACTCCTCTCACTGCCATTTTGATCTTTCTCCAGCCCAAGTGGTTCAGTTCTGCCAAATTGAGCACCACACAAATCCCACTGACAGCAAACATGAATACCAAGAATACAGTCTTCTCAGTGGGTCTAGAGACATAGCACTCTACTTCTTTAATGCAAGGGTATCTGTCACATTCATACATGGAAGGGACATTGAATCCATACAGAAAATACTGTCCCACTAAGAATCCAATCTCTAGGGCATTTCGAAAGACCACTTGGATGATATAAAATCGAGAAATGCCTTCTTGCCTCCTCATTTTTGACTTTGTAGTTCTGATAGCAGGATTGGGGATTTCCTTCACTTCTAAGCAGTCTGGTTCTGCCTCTTTGGTGGAGTTCTCAGTGTTCTGCAGCACCCCATTGACAATCGTATTCTTGATTTTCTTACTGTCCTCACGCTTCATGGAATCCTGGTCCCTCTCCAAGGTGAGGAAGACAGTGGAGTACCTACGTTCCCTCTGCTTAGCAGACTGGTGAACGGAGTATGTTATGAAGCAAAGGCTGGGAGTGCATACCATGATGATCTGGAACACCCAGTACCTTATGTGAGAAATAGGGAAAGCCTGGTCGTAACAAGCCTGGTTGCAGCCTGGCTGCAGCGTGTTACACACAAACATAGTTTGCTCGTCATCGTACACCGTCTCCCCTACAATGGCCACAATGAGTATCCTGAAGATCACCACCACGGTCAGCAGGATCCTGGAACAGAGAAGCCCGTCAGTGCGCGCCGCCGCCGGGAGCTGTCCAGTGCTGACCGGGCCCGGCTCGCGGCGCTCTGGCCCGGCTCGTCCCCCCGGCGGCGGCAGCCCCGCTCCCGCGCAGGAGGCGTGCAGCCCACTGTGGCATCGCCTCGGCGCGGCCGTGTGCGCCCGTGAGAGTCCGCGCTGGCAAAAATCTGGGGCGGGAGTCAGCGCTGCCGCCCGCCCCGACCTCCCGCCGGAGAAAAATCAACCGCAAGGGCGGCGGTGGGGGGGAGGGGGTGGCGGCGAAAAAACGGGAGGGAGCGGCAGGGGGTTGCTCTGGCCGCGGGACGCCGACGGCAGCAGGGTCTCCCCGATGCCCGCGCGCTGCACCGTGGGGACAAGGACGGCGGCGTTCGCGTTGTCCCTAGGCCCCGGTGGCCTGTGCTGCAAGCATATACACACACAAGCAAGGCGCACACCGCAGGAGCCCCGCGGCAAGGGTGCACCCCACAGCTGCGACCCGCGTGTGCTACCGGCCAGCCCTGATACGGGGGGATCCCTCCCGTGGCCCCGTAGCTCCCCGCCGCCTTACCTCCCGATCATAGTAGAATGCTGCTGCACGGCAGCTTCCAGTAGCCTCTCTAGAATAGTCCATTCCCCCATCGCTGTTCATCCGGAGACAAAGACTTTGGGAAGCGGAGGGGATCTCTTCACTTCTTCCTTCCTTTCCCCCCCGCCTCTTTTTGAGGAAGATCAAACAAAAGAGCAACGCCTGTCCACCGCCTGCAGTCCCGTGGCGGGAAGGCTGCTGGAGGCGGCAGCCGTGCCGAGGGCTCCCGACTCGGCTCGGCTGGGCCGGGCTGGCCTCGGCTGGGCTGGGCTGGGGGCCCCGCGGCGGCCGCCACCGGCCCGGCCCGTTTGGTTCGTGGGGCGGCGCGGCGGATCCGCTGCGTGGCGGGAGGAAGGCTGGCTTTTAGTGTCTTGCTGCCTCTAATCTGCCTTTAAGTACTCTCCGCTTGCGTCACTGACAGGTTGGTGGAGAGCAGCCAAAAGCAGCGCTCGGATTTTCTCATTTTTATTATTCCGATGAATGCAAATAAATAAATGCGATAAAATAAATGAAATAAAGGGAGGAGGAGGAGGAGGAGGGAGGGCGGAGGTAGAGCTGCCCCAGCCGGCACGAGGCTTGTCGTGCAACCGAGTGCCTCTCGCTGACCGCAGCAGTCGGGACGGGCCCCCGCAGCCCCGCCCGCCCTCCGGCGCACAGCCCGGCTCTCCCCCGGCGGCATGGGGACTGTCCGGCCCGGGAGAGCGACCTCGCGGGGAATGGGTGCTGCCCCTCGGCTCCTCCGGCCACGAACGCCTGGCTGCCGGGGGAGTCCCAGGGGCTGCTCGGCTCTGCTCGGCTTTGCAGCGACTGTGCTTTCTGCCGCTCACAAAACAGCGGTGTCATACGGCAGTAACCTCACCTGTTAGAACTGCTTGTCCTTGGAAAGTATAGGACTTAAAATTGCATCTTTATTGTCCCCCGATTACAGGCATGAGAATCACTCAGGAGAAATGAAGTGCATAGCTATTTCAGAGAATTCTGAGCCTGGTACTGTACTTAAGCTAGGAAAGACACCAAACCTTCACACAAAGCATTTCTAAACAGCACCAGAATTAAGTATCTTGAGTAAATCCCTGATTATAATCGATCCACATATTTTATTCTCATAGACTACTACACTGTGTTTGAAATATTTTTCATTTTACAGATACCCTTGAAGACTGTACCTGAGACACCACCAAACAATTCCACACAAAACATTGGCACCAATTGGAATCAACTGTTCTCTGGTGGAAAAGCATAAAATGTATTCTACATATTTCCATAAAGATCAAGTATAGCTTCCTATCTGCTGTTCATTTTGTTCAACTAATCTTGTTTAAAAGCAACACAAGACAAATTCTAGTCATTCTGATCGTAATGCCCCTACTACTAATAAAATCAGTCTCTTTCAAAAGCAGAACTGTTCAGGCCATCATAAACAATGTAGTCTTTTATTTTCTTTGCACCTTTCTCATGAACTAATTCTGTGTTGCGTTAATGATGTGTTTTATGAATAGATGGAACCATGCTTCATCTGTGCAGAGGACATCTGTGTGTTTTAGACACCCCAAGGTTTGTCGTCTCTTCAGTTGTAGTGTGCAGATGGTCTCTGATTCACATGATATTGGGTTGGTTGCTTAGTTGGATCCCCAAATCTTTGACTTAGGAAAGTATCAAATGAGACAAGATCAGTGAATACCTCTGCACAGAAATTGGTGGATTTTTCATCCCTCTCAACCAAGAGTCTGTGAAGAAGCATTCAATAATCTGGATTGTTTCCTTCCCACACTGTTGCAAATTACTGGTAAGAGTGAATAATCGCTGGTTTTCTCTAAAATTTGGCTGCATTTTCCTAAAAGCTGGTTCTCACATTTCCTGCATTTGTGCTGCAGAAACACCATAACTTTAAGAGGACTGTAGTATTTATCCAATGACCCTGACAACGGAGTGCCTCTCATACGGACCACAAAGTATCTGTTTGAAGATGGATCTGAAAATGGCAGAAACCATACCAGTAAAGGAAGCAGTAATGCATGTGCAGAAGGAGAAAGGACAGGGAAAATGCTAAGAAGCTAATGATGATAATTCTGTTTAGCAAACCAGAGAGAGAAAGCCTGTGATTGAAATCATTAGGGAAAGAAGAATTTGGTTCATAGACATATGTAAGAATTTACAAAGCAAAGCTGTTCTCTAGTGCTCAGATAGAAACCCCACTTATCTGAGCTTTTAGGACCAGTAAATAAAAAGGAATTAAATTCTGCTCATATAAAAAAAAATGGCCTATTAATGAACAGTTAGTCATTGTTTGCTGTGTGTGAAATTCTATTTACTACTGACAGCCCAGCTGTGGAGACATGGAGGGGAAATACCATAAATGAATGCTACAAACATGTAAGCACTCTTATGAAATTATATTTGTTTTAAATATGATTTAAAGTTAAACACTTTCTGGACTGCTTTTACAGGAGTTGCATCTCATTCCAAAATAGCTGGCCTCTCCTTTTTTAACAGTAACCTCATGCATCCCCCAACTGAATTTACATACAGGATACTTGGCCTTGGACTTGAAAAAGTTTACTGAATTTTAGACCTTAGTGAGTCCAGGGGGAAAAAGAATTGTGTCAGTATGAGACTTTCTTTCATGACATCAACATACATTTTAAGTGCCTGGAAAACTCAAAAGACTTTGATATATCTCAAACTTACATGTACAGTTTCTGGAACTATGATTTTCTATCCTTACTTTGAGCCCTGAGTTCTTTTCAAAATAGAAGTAATAAGAATCAATGTGATGTTCTCTGAGTGTTTAGTGCAACAGTGAAAGGTTTATGAAGAACATGATTATTTGCATTTCCATTATCCATTACATGTATAACAGCAACCTGTGGACTTGTCTGACAAATTGTCTAAATAAGAAAGTACTCATATCATGTATAGTCGTGATTGTAGAGAGACTTGTAGACATAAGATTTTCAGCTTCTGAAGGTTCATCTGAGGTTTTACACCATTCCCCTGAATGCTTCAACCTATGGGAAAGCCAGGATTTGCAGAGCAGAACACTGCCAGGAATGCTGTGGATGTATATTACAGTGTGTGGTATTCACATCAGAAAACTATGCCTACATTTTACTCACAAGCATTCAGGATTATTAAAGCTCTCCTGGCTTACAAAGAACCATTTCCTAATGAAGCAGCAATACCAGTTTGCGGTAGGACCAAGCCTGCCTTGTTCAATACTGTTATCAGCTGCGTACAAAGGAAACAAAATCAACTTCCCACTCCACACATGGGCTTTTTGTGGGAGGGTACATTTTTAATTTAAGGAAAATGAGTATTCCACTACACAGAGAATTCAGTATGAACTCTGTTGTCCTCAATAGGAACTCAAATAAGCTTTGCAAAAAGAAAACTTCTGTCTGCCTGCGTTTAAAAATGTCACTGCTACAATATTAATTTGTGAGAAAATAATATAAACTAAGTTGATCTTGGATTAGGTCTGAGGAATGAGACTCTATTTGTCCTCAGTTTGGTGCCAAATCGAGGTTAATACGTTTCTAAGAAGCTGTAGGCCAGATTCTCTCTAAGAAGTCCAGCCCTTTTGCCCTGGTCAGGTTTTGTGAAGGGTCCAAAAAGCAGTCAAATATCACAGGCAGCATATTCTTCAAATAGAGAGAGGACCAGACTGAGAGCAGAGATGACACACTTGGCTCTCCTGTCAGTCCCCCTGCAGCCTGGATGTAGATGGCATGATGGGGTGTGATGAAGAACCCACATGGCTAGTGCCATACCTGGTATAAGATAGTGTGCTAAATAAAGGCATTTCCCTGCTTTCTTATTTTCTATACTCAGGTTTACTAACGTTAAAACCCAATCCATATCTTGCACAAGCCTTCTGTATGTACAACCTCCTTTTAAAGTCATACATTCATCCTAAATTTATTCCAAAGATTTTATCTTAAAATAAAGCTACGTATTTCAAGTACTATCCCATACTATCCCAATGACCTCCCTTGATGATCTTTTTCTGCAGTTGTTCACAATCGATCCATAATTGCAGCACATAAATAAATATCATATTTAGATTCCAAACCTGCATGAAAAATAACTATTTAATTATTTTATTACAAACCACTGTTTCTACAAATTGTACCAAATTGGGGGCAAAGGAAGAGCTTTTAATTAAAACCTGTGAGCTATTACTAAAGAAAATATTGGTTTTGTCTTTTAGAAGTTTTTGTAAAACATGTTGCCTCGTATCTGCTTTGTGACTGCATTTCTACCTAATGTCACAGAATATTTTTCAATGTTACTGTCATAAATCAGTAGAACTTTATTTGGAGAACTGATAAATTCTCCCTTTCTGCTAGTATTTGGTGTCATCCATGAAATCTAAGTCATTAGCTACTAAACTGAAAATGCCTTTTTAAGACCTCTCATAGCCATCTGCTACTCTCTGTTTTCATTTGGTGCCATGTGTGTATTAATGAAATGATTGCATCAGATTAGATCTTTTATTCATAAAATCATCTAGGTCATCTGCTTCCACCTACACTTTCTCTCTCATTAAAATGAGCATTTATGCCACGTTCTCCCCCCACTATATGGGTACAACCCTAACTGCAGTCAGCTGCTATGTGGATTTTAATAAGAAATCCCTCTCACTGTTTTTCTCACAGATGAGATGTCTTCAAAAAACAATTTGACTATTTTACACCACAGAAAGTGTATTTTTTTACAATTTAAAAAGTGAAGACTTCCAAAAAGGTAAGAGACCTGGACGTACTAATGACCTCAGTCCTTCACAAAAGAAAACAACATTTCAAGAATACTGTCATTTTGTTGCCAAGAAATAAGTAGCACACTCTTCACAGCTGGCCAACAGTGTTTGTGTCAGAGCTGTCAATAGCAGGGCAAGCACTTCTGTTCCTTGTTGCGAGGATGAAATACAGCCTATATTTATACACTTCATGCTTGTGAATAGGAAGGTGTCAAGTGCGCAGAACTGAGGACTTTCTGTAATGGGTAAGCAGACAAAATAGCCTAATAACCATATTAAGACTTGACTGTGCATGAGAGGTACGTACCTACGACTGAAGATTGCTATAAATGGAAAATTCTTTGGAAAATCAATGTTACCTGTAAAGAAGAATATATCTATGAATATTCACAAATTTTTAAAGTGAGAGATTGTAAGTTGTATGCTGAATTTCCGTAACTATTTTTGCCAAGGTTGTCTAGTATAAGAAATATCCTTGAGGGGGGGCAGGTATTAAGTAAATATTCCTCAATGTTCTGAACTAATGCAATTTAAAATATCTAAATGTAACTGCTTTAACTAGAAAACAGATTTTATGTATCATACTTTTCTAGTTACAGAATATTTTATTCCGTGGCAGACAAAATCACTCAAGTTTCAAGGGGGCCTTCCGTAGCATTCCATGAAGACCTTTTAATGCACAAATTAACAGCTCAAATCAATTTCTTTGGAAATATTTTGGATCTATATACTAGATGACATTTGCATATACTTCTGGCTTATATGCATATATATCTATATATGCATATATATCTATATATGTGCACATTCTTGCAAACTCCTGAGCATAAGCTCTGCTTATTTGCAGACAAGCTGCTGCTAGGAGAAGGAAAACATCATTGAATCAAACCCTTAGGAGTTGACAGGCTTAGGAAAAAAAATGTACAGAAGAAGTAAAATATTCCAGTGGCCAGATGACCTGCTGCCTGTATCTTGATTTTCCCTTCTTTCTTTCACCATTTTCAAAAGAGCACTCACATTGTCCTAAAGCATCCATTAATGTAGCTTCATGGACTATGATGACTTAAGTGTAAATTTGTAAGCAAATGTTATATGGATTCCCATTATAGTCTACTTTAAGATTCTGCACTCACTAAAGAAAGAGCCTTTCAGAAATACCTTGGACATGGAAGAGTATGAAGGATTCCATGTAACCAAATTTAGTACACATTGCAAGGATGCAAAGAAATATGCACATACTAACATTATAATGAATTTAATATGGGAATGAAAATGATCTTTTACTGATGAATAATTGAATATTTTTTTTTCTTAAAGTCTTTTCCTTTAAAGATAAATATTACAAAAGATACACAGCCCTATATGACTGATTAGGGCATTATGGTAAAATATGAGCCATTTACAATATAGAACACTGAATCAATATAGAACACTGGTTAGACTCAGTTTGGCAAAACTTATTCTCATCTTTCCCTTACAATTCAAAAGGAGTTACCAATTGTAAGCAGAAGAAACTTAATTACATTTAATGATAATCATATATTTTTAAAAAATTGTCTATATCATACTATCATAGTAACCCTATGACAGTAAATTTTCATGGTACTAATGGCAAATCCCACTGACTTCAGTGGATCTGTAATTTAAAGCCTTAAAGATCTTACTTACAACAAAATATTTTAAAATCTCTAATGGCAGAATACAGATTTTGAGAAAGTTACTGTGTGATTCAGAATACACAGAACAGCAAAAACCAAGATCAAATAATAAGAAAAAATAGTCCTCTTAGCAGCATTTTGATGACTCTTGTATTCCACATGGGAAAAAAAATATATATATATATGTATATATATATTTGTGAGAGATCATGCTTTAGTATTTCAGTATGAATGCATTGCATGAAGCTTTTTTTTTTTTTTTATTTTCAGACCTACTCCTTTGCTTTGGGTTGTCTACATTCGTCTTCATCTAAATGCTGAATCTCTGTACTCCCAGCTGCTCTCAGTTCAGTGTAAGGATTTACGGCAGAGTTGTTTTCCTTTGTTTTGATTGTTACACCACCATATGTCTTCAGTATTCCTGGTGCTCCTCATTTTCATCCTCTCCCTCCCTATCTCACCAGTCTCAGAAGAGAATTCACATTACATTAAAGCATCCCTTCGGAGGTCAGGCTGAAACAATCCCTTGAAATAACTAGGGCAGTCAAATGATTGATTTGAGAGTAAACTATGTCAGTGAACAGGAGTGAAAAGCAGGATCTTAGTAAGAAATGCAGAGATTTTTATCTTTCTGTCAAAGATTCTATGGTTACAATAAAAGTGTGAAATATATTTGATATTAAATCCATTACAGATAAGTATGGTATAAATGCATATATGCGCATGCATATGTGTGTGTAAATGCATGCATTTAGGCATGAGTTATAATTAGTGTCTATTTGCATGACTGCAAAAAAAAAAGAAAAATGAAATAGCATTTAATAAGTAATTCCATAGTAAGTCCTGTTCTCTAGAAGTCCTCAATAATCTTATTTGAGGTTATTTAAACAGCCTGTGTGGGGAGAATATATTTAAATTCCATATGAATTTAGACTCGGGTAAGGCCGCAGGTAAAAACTGCTGAGCTACCTTTTCAGTGAGGTTAGTGTATGTGGATCAAAAGTGTATCTAATGGGTTTGAGAGAAGAATCTGACATAGTTTGTTGACTTCATGGAATGTTAAAAAAAATAATAATCTTCAAGTGAATTTAAGTGTTATAAACCTTCAGAAGTGCCAATTTTTAGTCTAATCTATAGGTTTATATGCTCTCACTGGAAAACACCAATTCATAGACCCAGAAGAGTTTCCTGGAGCCATCCCAATCATGCACATCTGGAGTTTCACAGGTAGTGATTTAAACTGGCAAATTTTGTGAGTTCCACAACTATTATTAACAAGCAGCATCTACTCAATGCTGTGGAGCATGCTTTCTTTTTAGAACACCTTTTGTTAATCTTACCTAAACAAAAAGATTTCCAGGATGAGCTTTTCATTACATTTTTGTAATGTTTCTATACCAAAATGGAATAAAATCAAATTTGGACTATGAGAATTTTCTATGAAGCAAAAGCCCTGATATTCATAAAGTTGTGATTAGGATACTCATGGTTTTGTCCCATAGAAAGTTCAAGTAGTTACCTCCAGATTTTGCAAATATGATCATGTTCTGAAGTATTCAATTCATAGCTATATTTTCCAGAATGTACTAGAGATTATGCTGTGGGAAAGAATTTGTGATAAATTCAATCATTCATAAAACATTGTAGAAAACCAACAATTGTGCATGATTTATTTATGTGCTTTTAAGAAAAAAAAAATTAAATCAGCATTATGCATAATGTTGCTATGGTACTGGAAGTTACAGTTGCTTTTTCTAGATAACAGTGAAACCCACATAATTCCTTGCATAGGTCAGAGATGCTCAAGGGCTACACTGATTTATATACATCTTATGCAAATCTGTCCTCATTTTAATCAGATACTTACTTTGCATTTTAGATTTACAAATTCTGTTTTGTAGCTATTTGCAACCTCTTTCACACTTTCCTGTAAGAAAGGGAGGCCTGTTTTCCTGTGAGAAACATAACCAAACTATCAGTGATTTATTAAAAAAAAAAAAAAAGTAAAAGAAAATCTCCTTAATCTAAAACTGTGTCTCTTCTACTGAGCGGTAAGCAGCATAGCAAGATGTGACTTTCATTACCCTGTTCACACCTTGTTTACAGCATTCCCAGGAGGCTCAGCGGCCCGGTGTGGACAGGCTGGTTCATGCAACAAGCAGAGGTTTGAGTCATCCCTGGCTATCCTTCCACTGGTGCTTTCCCAGCTCTACCCTGAAGATCAAGGGAAACTGAAAGGTTCCATTACCCACCTCTTGTCAGGCTGAATACCTAAAACAGACCCTGAACAGTAGAATTCACCATTTAAAATGTCTGTTGAAATTCAAAGGCTACAACAGAGTGAGAATGGTGTCATATATTTACACATAAATGCAAATGGGCAAATATGTATACATTTTAATTAACTATTATTTTGTATCAATTACTAAGATTTATTGCAAATACTACATTTTCCAGTTGTTTTTTTTTTTTTTCCAGGTTTTGTAGCCTCTCTTATATTTGTATGCGTATATCTGTATGGGAACACAACCAAAGAAATAACAGAATTTTATTTTCTTCAGTCACACCCTCCAGGATACCTCAATTTTGCTTGCACATACCTCAGGGATGTGTTCAAACCAATAAGGAGGTCATACCTCCTGACCCAAGACAGTAAGCATCTCTTTCCCCATCCATATTTACTGTCATTTTCCTTCTTCAGCATAGACCCACAATGAAACACAGATTTGCTAATGGAAAATTGTAAGAATAAGTCAATGGAGGACTTGCCTTCTCACAGAAGCTTTACTTTGCCTAAGAAACCAGGTTACAGCAAATCAAGAAAACAGAAGGACCACAGCTCCTAAGCTTTAAATTTAATAAAGGTTTTCACATGGTTAAAATAGATGAAAATTACACACAGAGCATTTTCTGACGGGAATTTCAAGGCTTCATGTCTCAGCAGGGGCTATCTAATGTTTTCTCAAAACCAGACCTCTTTTGATGTTGAGGAATAGAAATGAGCAGATTTGCAGCCCTGATTTCAACATAAGTATATCCATCTTAGATTTTCAGTAGGCAAAATATAGGCAAGTGACTTCAGATATTTACTGATTTACCTGCTTAAATATGAGGTCAATAATTATTATATAAAAATACATGGATAGATTATTGATTCATTTTATTAGTGTTGTTTGATGCATTTTATTATTTCATATATTTCCTTGAAGCAAAGGATCTGCCTTGGGGCAGAAATTGTGTTAGAAAAAGCTTACACAAAAGCTAGTGCAGTGGAGGAGAGACAAAAATGATAGCCACATCCCCACAGGGATTTAATAAATATTTGTGAAGCATATTTAGTTTAATTACACCAACTAGTTATCAAAGTCCAGTATCATGCTACCTGAAATGTCAGAGCACACTGTTCTGGGCTTGAAGGCACTATGTACGGTGAAAATGAAGAATGTGTGAAATCCAAATATGACTGCCACAAAGGCAAACATGGCATGAGAGAAAACATGAGCTCAAAGATAGATCAATTATACCGAAGAGCACCAACTAGACAGGTGGGTGAGTCATACATACTGTGCAGGCAGAGTTCCTGTTGAACAGAAAGTACACTTCGTACACCACATTTCACTGTGAAAGACAGTGTGGCCAACAAGCTATACTAAATTGGGTGGCAAACCTCCTGACTGTGCCATGATGATAGAAGCATCCTCAAGCAGAGAACAGCGACTGAGCTTCCCCATTTATAAGGTCCTTCCTCTCATTTTTAGCCCTTCCCAATAATGTGATTTTTCTCTGTTTTAAAGAAGATTTTTGAAAAAAAAAAAAAATGCTGTAAAGTAAAACATTGTTACCAGGCTTTGAAAAACATGGTCAGTGGAGGGTGATTCCCCCTGCCCATGGCAGGGGGGGTGGAATTAGATGAGCTATAAGGTCCCTTCCAACCCAAACCATTCTATGATATGGTTGTGTGATTGGTTTTGACACAATAAATGGGAACTATCCTTTCTTTTCACTGGAATGGTTGGTCAGAGGAATATATTAAGTGAATGTATCAATATAGTTAAATAAACATTATTTGATTGTTCTTTTCTCTGGAAGCAGAGGAAAAAAAGTCTTTCCAGAACTAGGAAGTACCAATCTGCTTGCATCACATTGTCCTGCAGGGATGGTATGACCTACCACAGCTGCTTCTGGAACAAATCAAGTGCACTGCAACCATGTCTATGAATAGCTTGTTAAAAAAATATTTTTGTTTTTTATTAAGTAAAGTGAGTGTGTAAATAGGAAAACTAAATCACAGCACACATAGAAAAGGCAAAGCTAAACTAGTACATGACTCAAATTTTAAATGGTCTTCTGTGACTACTTAACACAGCATTCTAAAGGGAGTACAAAAGTGCTTCTTACATTTGATATTTAATATGAAGATCATCTCAGAAATCACAGAGAGGAGTGAGAATATGTGAGAGAACCACAGTGTCAGTGCAGAAGGAGAGAGAGGAGGTGCTCAGATGCCAGAGCAGAGATTCGCCTGCAGCCTGGGGTGAAGACCATGGTGGGGCAGGCTGTCCCCCAGCAACAGAGTTCTTGCCAAGAACTGAGAGCAGTACTGACTGGTAACAGGTTTTTCATTATATACTCTTCAGTGCCATCTACTGTAATCAGATGCATTCAAAAACCTAAGAGATAATCTAATAGTTAGTCTCAAGAGTTCCATGACAGGGAAATTATCTAACTCTAGGTTTAGGTCTGTCCTACCAAAATCCCATTAAGGAACCAAGTGCGCGTCATCACTAAAGATGAAGAACTTGGTCACAACTCTGGCCACATTCTTTCAACTTTTTGCTAGACTTTCTTAAGGGGTAGCAAAATACCCTTTACATGACTTAATATCTGTGAGAATTGCTGCTTTAGTACCACAGCACCTCCTCCAGCCAAACAGTGACAGAACTGCACCCGTGGGTAAGACTTGAGAGCAGCTGACCTTTTCATGTTCACCCTGTGAACACAGAGAAGTCAAGAAACAGTATTTCCAAGGTCAGAATGGGAACTGGGTGCCTATACTCCAAAACCCCAACACTGTAAGACAAGGACACAGGCTTTTTCTCCTCTACCGCCGTTAAAGTTTTATTAGATGGAGAAAAAAGTAGTTCCATTAATGCCTTTTCTGCAGTTATTGAAAATAAAATAATGATGATTTTTCTGTGTCTGAAAAGTAAGCATCCAGTGTGATTGATTATTTCTATTCTGTCCTCCAGGACTTAAACAGAGCTCTAGAATGCTTAAATTATGTCCTAGAGAACAACTTTCTGCTTGAGAAGCCATTTCTTCCAATAAGACTTGCACTTTAGGTTGTTTGTCACAAGATGCATGGTATATTTTCCAGGAATATTTCCTAAACTTCATGTACTGGACAGACTCTTTTTTGTCTATGTGAATGATACATCATGATTTGGGTTTTATTAGCTTTAGGATACTCAAACTCTGATAAGGGCTTTATTACTCAGGGGGCTACAGACAGACACACAGAAATATTTCTTATACAAAAGCCCTTCAAGTCTAAATAAGCAAGGTAAAGGAAAAGCATAATAAATTTTTTACCTTTCCATGCTGATAAATTCCTACCTAATAGCATCTGCAATGCATTTCCAGAACATAGAGCGCTGTAGGTTTAGCAAAGTACCACCAGCAGTTTGTTGATTTTTGCACAGCATTATTTATCTGTTATGTGGCATTTGTGGCATTCTCTATATTTAGATTGGCAAATGCCACAAATACCATGACAAATTTAACCACTGTGAGTGATAAATGTCAAGCTTTTAATAGCACCCACTGTCTCTCTGTCACCATACGACCCTATTTGGAAATTGCTCAATCACCATCTCTGCATTATTACTTACAAAAGAAATAGTCTTTTCAGCATTAAATGGCAATATATTTGCTTTGTTTAATAAATACAGACAGAATGAGCAAAGGAACTCTGTATGCCTTTTGGCAGAAAGAAGAGCCTGCAGCATACCATTCCTGAAAATTTCATATGCTGTTTATTTACAAAAACCAAGGTCAGAAGGTGGTTTCCTATTTCTGTTAGGTGCCAGTGTAATGGCCAGAAGTCATGGTCTCAGTTGAAATGAAATGACAGAAACTAATTTGTCTACCTAGTTGATGACAACAACTGATGTTATGTTTGATCAGAGAGAAAAAAACCTACAAAAGTATTGCTGCAGCCATTAAATTACAGAATGTGACACCAGACATTACAAACTTATTCTCTACATGACTTTGAGCACTTTTTACTCTTTCAGCAGTACGTGATATATCCACAATATGTTTGAAAATCATATGTTGGTGGCACTTCGACTGTACATTGTAAGAAGGAAAAATTATTTTACATTATCACTAAAAACACTTCAGTTCTGATTTTTTCCCAAAATTCCAAAGTTCTGAGGTTTTCCCCTGAGCAGAAAACTAAATCAAAAATTAACTTCTTTCTTAGGAACAGGCTAAAAAATATCAACAGTTTTGTATTGGTCAAATATCTCTGTGATGCTTCTGACATTGTCCTTCCATCTTCAGCTATGCTGATTTTCTAAGGGATTATTCATATGCTATGTCATACAGATGTGGCCTCTGAAACGTTATATCAAGTCAAGGATACTCTTCTATTGCAAAATTAAAGAGAAGACTGAGAGAAAAATATCCGTATGCATATATATGCACACATATGTGTAAATATATTTTTATATGTGTACAAATACGTATATGTTATACATTAAACACTTTGGAGAACCCAGAACCAAATGCAAGAGAGACTATCACCAAAAACAGGATAATCACTCATTTTCCTACATATAGTGAAGATACCAGTTCAAAGTAAGTCTCTTTCAAAGTCCATTTGATTTAGCTGCCAAAATATGAGGGCAAAAGATCAAAAGCTACTGCATTACTGCGGTTTGTCTGGTTGCCATACAGAGCTGAGCTGCACAAAAGAGCTCCAATTCAATTGAAAATATACCTAAATTTATTTCCATGCTAGTAAGACTAGGAAGGCCTAAGAGAATTTTTAAAAACTGTGCATCACATATTCAAGGTTTTGTAACATATTAAAGGTTTTGGTTTTTACAATACACTACATTACATGTTAAAAGCATATCTGGGCATTGTTTAGTATCTTGTAATGGACTGTGATACTTAGTAATCCAAAATAAACATAAATCATAGAATCAAAGATTAGTTAGGGTTGGAAAGGACCTTAAGATCATCAAGTTCCAACCCCCCTGCCATGGGCAGGGACACCTTGCTCTAAAACATATTACCCAAGGCCTCGTCCAACCTGGCCTTGAACACCGCCAGGGATGGAGCATTCACAACCTCACCGGGCAACCTATTCCAGTGCCTCACCACCGTAACAGGAAAGAATTTCCTCCTTATATCCAATCTAAACTTCCCCTGTTTAAGTTTGAACCCATTACCCTTCGTCCTGTCGCTACAGTCCCTAATGAAGAGTCCATCCCCAGCATCCCTGTAGGCCCCCTTCAGATACTGGAAGGCTGCTATGAGGTCTCCACGCAGCCTTCTCTTCTCCAGGCTGAACAGCCCCAACTTTCTCAGCCGATCTTCATATGGGAGGTGCTCCAGTCCCCGATCATTCTCGTGGCCCTCCTCTGAACTTGTTCCAACAGATCCATGTCCTTTTTATGTTGAGGACACAAGAATCG